CAAATATTCTATTTTACAAAATTTTCACTTTTTGAATTTTCCTTTTGTGAATATATTTCCTGCTATACGTATTATTTGAATAACATAATTATGTGAGTGAAAAGAAAAACATAAAAAACACGAGCATTTAGAAATCAATCAATATTATTTATTTCAATAGAATATACGTTTCAATACAATTAAACGATACAGATTTTGACATGTATCATACTTTGAAGTACTAATATTTTTCTTTTGTGTTTTTATTATGCAAGAATATCAATTTATTGGCAACTCAATCCAATGTAAAGCAGAGGTGTGCTAAATAAAAGTTGCCCCATGAATGGCCTTAGCCACATATATGTTAGATAAAAATTTAAGAATATATATACTACACAAGAACAACAGATGATAAAAACGCAAAGCACTTGGGTACAGTAGGAGAAAACACAATACAATTCATAGTTGATCATGTCTAATATAGCAAGAAAAGCAGGAATCAATTAACCATGAAACCATAGTTTATTCAAAACAAAACAAATGTGATCGGAATTCAGCCTCAATAAAAAGAATGTGGGAAATATCATGGGACATCCCTTTCATGGTTAATCTTATCAAGAACATGTTAGTATATATGTCTGTGTGGAAACAATACCACCCATTAGAGACGTCATTCTAATCAATGAAACCAAAGAACGAACCTATTCGTCAAAGTTATTCAGTTCGATTCTATTTAATTGATGGATTTATTTTTTGAATTAAGGTTCAAATAAAAATCCAATCGAATTTACAAAAAAAATAATAATAAATTAATAAAAAAATCCAGACTAACCTCTAATCGTCGTCTTCCATGGGTATTGCTCAGATCGATGTCCCGTTCGAAATTCTCTCAGTGGTTGCCGTTGAACCCACCCACCACCATCTATTTTCATGCCGTAGAACATAACACAAAGAGTGCCGGGAACACAAGCTCGCAGTACCCCTTCAGGAGCTTGAAAGAGTGGATCAATCACTATAGCAGGCCAAGCAGGGAAATGTTTCCCACATTTTGCCCAAACTATATCTTCCTTTACAAAATCGTCAGGCTTATAAAAATCAGTCTTCTTCTCAACCACTTTCACTTTCTCTGGTTTCTTCAATACTGCACTCATTTCCCCAACACTTTCCGCCAAGGGTGATACACTAGAAATCCCTTCATTAACTGATGTCACTGAACTCGGCGAACTAGAATAAGGCTATAAAATTATGTTTTTCAATTGGAAGCTCGACTTCTTTTCAATTCGTGGTTTCTTGACTAAATATACGTCATCATGTGATGCCGACTTATCTTGTCGTTTTAACTTCTTATTACGAGGCACAACCTGAGCATATTCATCATTGTCAACTGAACTCTTCAAATCATCACAACCCTCTGATTTTTCTTTCTTCCATGGATGCAAAACAGAGTCATTGAATTTCATAGGGAGTACCTGCTTACGCCCTCGAGAAGACTTCAATAGTGGAGGCTTGTTATTAACAGCCCTCTGAGCAACGGAATTTGCTTCGGCATTATCCAAAGAGCGTCCAGTGGAAGGGCAATAGTTTGAAAGATCAATGCTCTGACCTTCTAATTTTACTATTGGAACAGTAAAACATCGATCAGTTACCTTTGTCATCTTTTTACAATTAACGGCGGGGCTGCATGATTCCTCCGCGTCGTTCCCACCCGTCACTTCCTCTTTCGCCATTGAGCAACGCTTGAGTTTCGGCATTCCAATTTTCCTCCGCCCCGTTTCCAATCATGTCCCGTTATCAATCAAATTCGCAAATCGGAAAAACAAACCTAGGGGCACCACAACAAAACCCTAATTCCTCTCTTCTCCACGGCAATTCCTTTTGTCTGAACCCAAATTGCTTTCGAATAAATCCTCTCACCGAAATTCAACAACAATATTTCGGGGGGAAACCTCTATACCGCCCTGAATTTCAACAATTAAGAACTCAAAACGACTTAATCCAAAAGACCCACCCAAAAAAAAAATCTCAGTGGTTGCCGTTGAACCCACCCACCACCATCTATTTTCGAAAAAATACTTGTATTGCGTCTTTGTCTGTGTGGGAAAGACGACAGTTCATTCATTGTCTGTACTCTCTGTAAACTATTAAATTTGGTTTTTAACAATTGAGTAAATATTTACTAATTAAATGTAAAGGTTAAAAATGTAAATTAGTTGAAGTACTATCCATGTATGATGGGAGTACAATGATTTTTGCTAGGCATGTACATTTTTTTAATATACCCTAGGGTCGTACATGGTATGTACATTAGATCAATGGACACAATTATTTATCAATTAATATTAACGGTGCAGATTAATTCTTTTATGGTCCGAGAAGTACAACCCTCTCGGACCCTAGACAACCCCTACTTGGGTTCATAATGGATCCACTTAACCTCATTTTTCGACATGTTCTTATGATCGGTTTTTTCGTTTTCATTTTTAATCGTTGTAACCAACTAGTATTTCCCGTGCAATTTGGAAAATAAGAATATGGTTGGATAAAACAATCGAACAAGAACTTTAAATAGTTGATATATAATACAATATAATCCAAAATCTGAAAAATTAGTATACATTCCATTTGATTCAAGTATCGAATTAAACAAAGAAATAAAAAAATAAAATATAAAATACAAAAAATTGTAACATAAAAATTAAGATACTTGATCATCTGACCTAAACATTTATCGCGTACAATGCACTCGAATACTTAAGATAAAATATAGCTGCTTATGTTTTGTAATGCGTGCCTGCATAAACATCGATAACTAATCTAATAGCTTGTGAACAACCAATCCATTTTTCATTGCTCGTATGCAGTCAGTAACACACATTGTGAAAATAAAAATCGCCTGGCCGGAAATGCAAAACACAAATACAAATTACGTTAAAAAAAAATACGTTATTCGAGTTGACATGAAGATTAGTATAAAGAGCAAATAAACATAACCAAGTGCTGGCAAGCGAGTACCTTTTTTTTGGTAATAAAAGGATTAAAATACATTTTCCAATATTAATTTAAATAAAATATTACACTATTATAAATGTTAATTAATTGTTTTTAATTTTAATATATATATAAATATAGGTATATTACAAATATGGCGCCGTATAGCCGTAGAGGTGTGGCTGCAAAGCTAGCTTACTATTTCTTCCCGCCTATTCCGATGGAAGCACTAAATTAAACACCACCCGCTTCAGCAATGGAGTACATTTTCTCCAATTATGAAAAAATTAAAATTAAATATTTCTTCCTCGTTTTTTCACTCTATACTCAGCTGATCTTGCTGCCAGAATCAAGTTTTCCAGTTCTGATGCAGTTATGGAGGATTATTTGAAGAATAATTTCGAGTTGGAGGCCAAAAGGCCGTCCGAAGAAGCACAGAATCGATGGCGATCAGCGGTCTGGCTTGTCAAAAACCCTCGCCGCCGCTTCCGAATGGTCGCCGATCTGGCCAAGCGCGCCGAGATCGACAAGAAACGCCGCAGAATGCAGGTTTCCCTTTTTTTTTTTTTTTTTTTTTTTTGCTTCTCCTACTCTTCTCTCTGTGGGTCTGCGAATCAGCTGACGATTTGATTAATTTGTTCTGTTTGCGGCATTTGATCGAACGGTTTGAGTGCGATTTTTGCTGGTATAAACATTTGTTCGGATTTATCTCGATCGAGTTTCTAGGGTTTGGTATTTGGTATTCTGTGATGTCAATTTAGTAGACTAGTAAGGAAGAACTAATTCAGGGGAATTTCTTGGATTTTGCACTGAGGTTTAATTTCTTCATACTTTTCAGCCATTCACACAGTAACGCACACACACACGTTTGCTTGTCATGTTGGGAAACATATATTGTCAATAAAAGAGAAACCTAATTCAATTTTTAGCTACAAGGACAAAGTCTGCCTGCAATTTATGTCAACTATTCAGACAGAAAAATTGTGTTTCCATGATGCAGGTTAGTGATGTATTTTTTTTTTCGGGGTCGATTTTTCGCGTCTTTCTTTCTGGTGTCGCGTATTGCTTCTCTGCATGCAACAGAGGATTGCTAGTATTACTTGGTGATAGACATGATTGCTCTTGCATGAACTACGGGCGAGAATCGAAACAATGGACTACCTTAGTTATTGATTCCTGTTAAGAAAATCCTCTAAAGCGTTGTTGTCTTGGTTGCACAAATTTGAAAACTACGCTGGGATCTGATATATTTATTTCTTGTTTATTAGAAAATTATTTGTTGTGATGAGAGAACTCAGCATCTTTCTGTAAATTGCATCACAAAGTCACTGAGTTGACCAAATAGACCAATATTTTGACATCATGTATGTTGATTTATATGTTGAACGAAACTTTAGAGGTAAATTCGACATGTTTTCCGTGGCTTGCGCCTCTGAGTTCAGGTATCTGCAGCGTCTAATTCGTGTTTTTTTAACACTGGTAAATGATAATGGAAACTGAGCCTCTACCAATTGTTGATTCTGGCTATATAACACAATAATCTGTGTAATTTTTCATGCAAATTGTTGGCAATAGCGTGAAATACATCTACTTAAGTTCCTAATACAGTTGAATGGTCTTGAACATAAGTTTTTGTACACAACGTCAGATGCTGAAACTCGTAATATGTGCTGCAAGCATTATTAGTTTTTGAGATTTAGATAGTTTTCATTCTCAGCAAACTTTTGCTCTTTGAAAGAATTTCTAGAAAAGTAGAGTTCGTGTAAAAAAATTATTTTTGTTTCCATGATTTGCTTACAGATTAAATTCTATGTTAATCTTATTTATTTATTTCTTTATTTATTTTTGCAGGAGAAGATTCGAGTAGCTTTGTACGTGCAAAAAGCTGCATTATACTTCATCGACGGTAACAATTAAGCACAATTATGTGCAAGAGTTGTTTTCCATTTGCATCTCCATTTCATTCTCGTTCACATTTCTTTGGTATTACAGCTGCCGAGCGAACAGAAAAGCACAAAGTTCCGGACGAGGTCAAGCAAGCTGGCTTCTACATTAGCCCCGACGAACTCGCTTTAATAGTCGGCACACACGACGTAAAGCAGCTCGAATATCACGCAGGACCGGAGGGAATAGCAAAAAAACTATCAGTCTCACTAAAAAATGGGCTGTCCTCAACCGAAATTCCGACAAGGCAGAATATATTCGGCATGAACAAATTCGTCGAAAAACCTCCTAGACCCTTCTGGATGTTTGTGTGGGACGCCATGCAAGACCTAACTCTGATAATGCTAATGGTATGTGCTGTAATTTCTATAGGAGTTGGAATTGCAACCGAAGGTTGGCCAAAGGGTATGTATGATGGGATTGGAATAATTCTCTCCATATTATTGGTGGTGCTTGTGACTGCAATCAGTGACTATAAACAGTCATTGCAATTCAGGGACTTGGATAAGGAGAAGAAGAATATATCAGTTCATGTTACGAGAAATGGGAGTAGAAAGAAAGTCTCGATTTACGAGTTGGTGGTGGGGGATATTGTGAATTTATCTATAGGCGACCAAGTTCCGGCGGACGGGCTTTATATATCGGGCTACAGTTTATCGATCGATGAATCAAGTTTATCTGGCGAGAGTGAACCTGCCAATGTGGCGAAAGAAAGGCCCTTTCTCTTGTCGGGGACCAAAGTGCAAGATGGTTCTGGAAAAATGCTTGTGACATCTGTGGGTATGAGGACTGAGTGGGGGAGATTGATGGTCACTCTGAGTGAGCGCGAAGAAGACGAGACTCCATTGCAGGTGAAGCTAAATGGAGTGGCGACAATTATTGGAAAAATCGGTTTGGTTTTTGCTGTGTTGACTTTCTTGGTGCTCACGGCTCGGTTTTTGGTGGTGAAGGGTATTAATGGTCAGATAAGAAATTGGGCGATTAATGATGCGCTGAAGCTTTTGAATTTCTTTGCTATTGCAGTTACTATTCTTGTGGTTGCTGTGCCTGAAGGGCTTCCTTTAGCAGTGACACTGAGTCTTGCATTTGCGATGAAGAAACTGATGAAGGATAGGGCACTCGTTAGGCACCTCTCTGCCTGCGAGACTATGGGGTCCGCCACATGTATTTGCACAGACAAAACGGGGACTTTGACCACAAACCACATGGTGGTGACCAAGATTTGGATTTGCGGAGAGCAGAAAAAAGTGGAAAATTACAAGCCTGAGAATGTTTCTGAGAAAGTGAAAAAGACACTCATGCATTCGCTATTTCTAAATACGGGTGCTGAAGTGGTAAAAGGTAAAGACGGGAAGACAGAGGTACTAGGTTCGCCTACAGAGACAGCTTTATTGGAATTCGGGTTATTGTTTGAAAGGGATTTCGATGCGGAGAGAGACGAGTTGAAGATAATAAAAATCGAGCCTTTTAATTCTGTGAAGAAAAAGATGTCTGTGCTTGTGGCTCTTCAAGGTGGCGGTGTTAGAGCGTTTGTTAAAGGCGCCTCTGAAATTATTCTGGGCATGTGTGACAAAATGGAGGGGAGAAATGGGGAATCGGCTTCTATATCGGAAGAACAGAGGAAGAATATTACGAACGCCATTAATGATTTTGCGAACGAAGCTTTAAGAACACTTTGTCTTGCTTATAAGGATGTGGAGAAAGCATCCAATGAATCTATTCCTGATAACAACTACACGCTCATTGCAGTTGTGGGAATTAAGGATCCGGTGAGGCCAGGTGTTAAAGAAGCCGTTCAGACATGTTTAGATGCTGGGATTGTTGTAAGAATGGTAACTGGAGACAACATTAATACTGCTAAAGCCATAGCTAGAGAATGTGGGATCTTGACTGGTGATGGTATAGCCATTGAAGGGTCTGAAATTCGCGATAGAAGTCCGGAAGAAATGGCGGAAATAATACCCAAACTCCAGGTTTTTAATAGAGGAATGAATTCGTAAAATCAATGAAACGAAGAAGGTCAATAGCGTAATATCTTTGTTTTTGCAGGTTATGGCAAGATCACTGCCTTTGGACAAACACAAACTGGTGACTATGTTAAGGAAAGAGTTCAACGAAGTGGTGGCTGTGACTGGTGACGGGACTAACGATGCTCCAGCTTTGCACGAGGCAGATATTGGTCTAGCCATGGGTATAGCAGGAACTGAGGTATATATATACAACATACATAATATACGTTTTCTAACACATATAAATATAAAAAATTATTATATTTGTATTTTTTCTTCTTTGAAATAGGTTGCGAAAGAAAGTGCTGATGTGGTGATAATGGACGACAATTTCACGACCATATTGAACGTTGCGAAATGGGGTCGTGCGGTTTACATCAATATTCAAAAATTTGTCCAATTCCAGCTGACCGTAAACATTGTCGCACTCATGACAAACTTTATTTCTGCATGTATTTCAGGTGACTAACTAAAACAATCAATCGTGTGATAGAATTGTTTTTCATTTATTGTCTGAAGATATTGCTGAACAGTCATTTCATTTCATTACAGGCTCGGCACCACTAACTGCTGTGCAGTTGCTTTGGGTGAACATGATAATGGACACACTCGGTGCATTAGCTATTGCCACAGAGCCGCCACACGATGGCTTGATGAAGAGACCACCTGTTGGGAGAAACGTTAATATCATTACGAAGATTATGTGGCGAAATATTATTGGCCAGAGTATCTATCAGTTGATTGTGCTTGGTGTACTCACTTTCGATGGGAAGCAGCTCTTGAAACTCAACGGTCCGAATTCGGACGCTACCCTTAGAACCATGATATTCAACACCTTCGTTTTCTGCCAGGTAAACAACCTTAGAAAACTTATATTTCGTATATTATATCCTTATCAATATAAGTGAAAATATGAATTTTATAATATAGTTTTAATTGCTAATTTTAATCAATAAAGTTACTGAAGAATATATAATTGATTTACTAAAAATCGCACGAATCACGCTCAGATGCACTAGTGCAACAAAACGATCATCCTAGAGATGTAAGGCCGCAAACGGCAAAACATAATAAATAAATTATGGTTGATGAAATGTCAGGTTTTCAACGAAATCAACAGCCGAGATATGGAGAGGATAAACATTTTCCGAGGCATATTCAGCAGCTGGATATTCGTTATGGTTATGGTCTCTACAGTGACTTTCCAAACAGTGATGGTACAATTTTTGGGCAAATTTGCCGATACTGTGCCGTTGAGTCGAGATTTGTGGCTGGTTAGTATATTGATTGGATCTGTAAGTTTGATTGTTGGAACTGTTCTCAAATTCATCCCAGTTTCTACCAAGAGCTCTCGAGTTTTCGAGCATCACGATGGATATGAGCCTTTGCCTACAGGGCCTGATCTTGCTTGAAGAATTTCAGATTTATTTGCAGAGCCAGAAATTAGATGTACAAGGTGAAGTTCAGATTTTGCATATGCTCAATAGAAAAAAAAAGGTTTTTTTTATAGTTATATAGGTTTATATTCAAATTATATGGCTTATTTATTTATTTTTTTTGTATATTTTTTTATTGAGGGGTTAGAATGATGGGACAGAGGAATGGTGGGGATTATATTCTATTTTTCCACTGTACAAATAATTGAAATTTGCTCTTCTTTGATTAATTGAATATAAGCTTCAAATAATTTTTTTTCTTGTAGATATTGTGTGTGTGTGTGTGTGTGTGTGAAATTTGACTAGGAATGTATGTTTTTAGGGTAAATTACGGTCAACTCCCTGAGCTAAGGTCAAATTACGACCGCGCCTCAACTATGAATCTTCTTACACGTTCACCCTTGCGGTGTCAAATTTAGTGGAATCTTCTAGATTATGTGAAATATTCTCCAGTTTGTACCCGTTTTATCCCATTCGAACTCCACATTTTGAAACAAGAATGAATACAAGACGTGTCTCTCGGCTTGTAAATATCAAATTGTGGTGCATGAAAAACTGCATTTCTTTGCAAAACGAGTAGAAACTAAAGAACATTTCACGAAATCTAGAAGATTCTGTTGAATTTAACACCATAAGATTGACGTGTAAGACGATTCTTAGTTGAGGGTAGTAGTTGTAATTACCCAAACAAGAGGGATTTTTTTATAATTTGATCTTACCTCGGGGGATGGCAATAATTTACCGTATTTATTAATTTTGGGAACAGAATATTGAAAAAATAATGGGAAAGAACAAGAAAAATATGTAATGAATGAAATGGTAGTAACAATGTTACATGTATTTACATAAACAACAGACTTTAGGACAGATATTATTCCTTAGTGCATTTTAAATAGCAGTTTTCACATATGTGCAGTTTTGAATAAATCTTGAGCAAACACTAAAGTACAGTACAGCATAATGTACACAAACTGGAGTGAGTTCGGAGTACAGAGACGAGCGCGGCAAAGGCTAAGGATCAACGGGTCCCACAATTGCATCGTCACTCGAGTCATACCCGGCTTCACTCAGCTCCTCATCGCTCGATTCCTCTTCCGAAACGGGCCCCACATCTTCTGCTTTCGCGTATCTCTCACAATATTCTGGTTCCAAGAAAAAAGGAAAGTAAGACGACATTTCGATTTGTTGATAAAGATTCGAGAAATGATTTCAAGTAACTCCATATTGGATTTTGAGTCCACCGCGATAACTCAAAAAATTAGTTCAAATTGGGAGCTAAGGATTTGAAATTCGTCGTGGAATGAATCAATCCAAACAAGCCCTATCTCGATTCATTCCATCCAAATGCAACTCAAATGAAATGATTTCTTGTTCTAGAGTCACCGATCTTTCCTTAACATTGCTGACCTGCCGTCTTTAGAGAAAAAATTAAAAAAATTT